TAATGAGCACAATAAATAAAATAGTGTCAGTCTCTGGGGATCAACATCCAAAATGACAAATATTCTGAAAGGGAAAGGTACAAATTGAATCATCAATCAGTCACTTCACTAAATCTTCTGAATGACTGGATTGACAAAGAGCACAATGTTTCTTCTGTAGCACAAATTATAGGGTATAAATAGTTTAACTACAGGATAAATATCTGTGATGAGGTTTTCAAAGTACCCAATTTTTCCCTGGAGCAAATAATTTAACAAAATATTTTTTTAAAAAATTGCTGGAAGCATCCCGGTCAGAGTTTCTGGTAAGTTTTCTATTCTTGATGGAATGTGATATGGAATTAATCTTGTCCACCTGTGGAAAACAAAGGAGATATCGATAAGGTAGCAAGCTGTAGGCAATAGCAGTAACTTAATTGCACAAATGCTTGTTGGAAAGTGAAAGATTTTGAGTGTCAAATGGGTTATTTTATACAATAAGTGGAATAGTATAGTAATTGTGAATATACATACTCTTCCTTCCTTCCTGTGGTGTAGTGTGGTGTGCCACAATGGTATTTTACCGTTGAACAAAATTCCACTGTGTGCATTCAGCCTGTGATCCAAGAAATATATTCAGGAACATTGGATTGCAGTAGATTGTGTAGACTCACTTGTTTTTCCAACTAGGGTTTTCCTGCTTGTGGAAGTGAGTTCCTCCCCAAGAAGTAGAGAACATTATTAGGAAATAAAAGAGTATTAGACAAAAATGATCACAACAATAAGTAAAAGAAAAATGTAAACATAGCACTTACACATTACCACATATTTCTACCCATTCCCTTCCTTACCTGCATGAGGCATATCCCACTGTTCCTCAGTTGTTGGAGTCTAGCAGATGTTGGTGCCTGAAGTTCCAAGGTGAAGTAATTGTTAGGGTTCCAGGCAGAAATATTAGCTATGTGTTCATGTATTGAAGCATATCAATAGGGTAAGCTGTTTTATGTAAACTTTTCTCCATTAGTTTCCTTTTGTGAGCTCCAATTGGCATAACATATGATATACCAAGTGATTTATAATATACATATTTCATGTTTATATGACCTCATGTACTACCCGCTGTAATATCTTAAATGGTCAAGGACCGTTTAAAGTTCCTGCATATATTAGGATCATAGTTTTAATAAAAGAGATAATAATAAAAGAGATTCAGTGTGTATTCCATCCATATGAGATGGGGGATAGCTGCCATGCTGGCAGTATATCATTATATTTGTGTAAAAAGACTGTCGGTGTACCTATATCATACAAATGTACTTTAAAGTTACAAATTTAAAGCAGTTTTTTTTCCTCATTAGAGTATGCCTAATTAATTAGTTTGATTATACTACACATAGATCAGTAATTACATAAGCAATATCTTCTTTAATAAAACGTATCACCTCTGGGGTTGCAATAAACAGATAATGACTAGATAGAAAGAAACACATAAACATCTCCATTGTCACCTTGTAATTCTTGGGAAATTTGCAACTCAGGGATAATCCTAGTTATGATTAGCCACTGCTGCTCCATGTCCCAAATTTTTACTTAAAAATTCTATGAAATTTAATGTCTTATGAAAATTCTTATAAAGAACAACCTTAACTATTGATCTTGCAGATCCTTAATAGTGTTCTTTATAATAATCATTAGATATTGCCTGATTTTTGACAGAGAATAACCTACTCAAGATAAAAGATGGTAACATTTAATATTCAGACTCTAAATAAACAAGAATAAAGAGAAAACAGTGAAAAGAAAATTAAGTTTAAACACATGCCAAAATAATATAGTTGACTATTGGCTTAAAAGTGAACAATAGTGATCAGGACAACTATAGTTTGCGATGGAACTTAATTCTATAATGATGTGATTGAAAAAGCCATTTCAATAAGATAACAGAAAACAATAAGATTTACAGAACAAGCTTTCAAGTCAGTTCAAGGGAGAAGAAGTAATTATTGATTCTAGACCATTTTAGTAAAGATGTACAAAATATATTTTCAGTTTAAACATGGCCATTTTCAATATTTCAATTTCAGGACAAAACATTCAAATGAAGCATTGTTCCAAGATGGGGCCAAAAAGCAGGAGTTTTATTCCATGTTCTTTTTCTGTGTTCCATAAGTGCCTTTTTAAATTCTTAAGCCATACATTTATCCATTAAAACAGTTCCATCTCTAGGGTCACTGACATTGTTTTAAAATTATGTGTTATCAGGAACTCTGAATTCTCCATGTCTTCAGATGAATACAGAATAACAGAATTGAAAGGAAAGAACTTGAGGGTGTTCTAGTCCAGCGGTCACCAACCAGTGGGCTGTGGACCACTGGTGGTCTGTGAGAAAATTTTGGTGGTCCGCAGAGAAATGTCACCCCCAAAGCACCCCCCAAAGCAATTAATTCAGGCTGTGCAGGAACACAAGGCTGCGCCGCCCACATGGCCTGTGGGAACACAAGGCTTGCATCGCTTGCATTGTGAACGATATGAGGTAGTAAGGGGAGTGGGGGGAAAGAGCAGACAGGGGAAACTTGCCCCAGGCGCCCCAGGCGCTTTGCCTGGCCTTCGTGCTGCTTCTTTCCACTTCTGCTTTTGGCTTCATGCAAGGAAAGCAGCAAAAGTTTCTTTTTCTCCCCCAAACTCCACCAGAAATGAATCTTTTGGACCCTGCAAGGCATCCTGCTTCAAGAGGCTGTGCCGGCAAAGACTCATTTCTGGCAGAGTTTGGGAAAGAGAAAGAAAGACTTCTGCTGCTTTCCTTGCATGAAGCCAAAAGTCAGTCAGTCAGTCAGTCTCTCTCTCCCCCCCCCCCCGCTCTCTCCCTCCCTAAGAATGGAGCTGGAGCTGGTATCCTGTGATCCCAAATAATGATCATCAGTAGGAAAACAGGGTGGGGAATTTTCCTGCAGACCAGAAACCAGCAAGGAAATGGCAGAAAAGAAAAGAGGGATGCAGCCCTAAAAAAAAGGGAGGAAAAAGGACACCAAAGCAAGTGGGGGGGATGACTCCCCAAGGAAGAAAGCAAGCTTGGAGAGAGCGAGCTGGTAAGTCCAGCTCTTACTAGTAGCTATCTGCGAGGGGTGAGGCGAGGGAATAAGGAAAAATGACAGTGTAAAGCACCTGGGCAATTTGTCACAGCTGCTGGATAGGCGGGCAAAGTCCCACCCACTACCGCTGCTGCTGCTTTTTCTCTCTCTCTTCCAGAGAGTGCCGCCGCCACCACTGTTGAGCAGCCCAGTGTTTGCTTCTCTGCTGTGCCTGGATTGATCTGGACATGCATGCATGTTCTGCCTCTCGGCCCAAGTTAGGGATCCTCTCCAAATGCCCAGCCCCGCATTGACAAAGAAGGCATGGCTGGTTTGGCTGAAGAGAATGATTCATGGCTTTTCCCTCCCTCTTTCTTTCTCCGCACCTTGCCCCACCCCGTGGAAGGACTCTCGCAGCCAAGGAGTGGACCGGCGGCCTCTGCAATGGGATTGCAACTTCAGCAGAGGAGCCATTGGCCAAGGGGGGTGGATCAATGACCTGGGCATGTTTTTTAGGGTTTGCTTTCCAGTTTTCTGGGAACTCAGGCATGGCTTTGGTGGCAAGCCTGGCAGCTGTATGTATCCTGAGAACATGTCCTCCTCCTCTCTAAGTCTGAAAAAGCAGGGGTTCCAAGCTGGTAAAATTGGTGTTTAAGTGAAGTTCAGAAGTCTGACTATATCAACCATCATCCAGACCAGGGATCTCCAACCTTGGCAACTTTAAGCCCAGAATTCCCCAGCCAGCTTTATTAGTGGTCTGCAGGATTTAAAATTATGAGTTTGGTGGTCCCTGAGGTCCAAAAGGTTGGTGACCCCTGTTCTACTCCAAGTCTCTGCCCAAGCGGAAGACACCCCCTCCCCCCATACCATTCTGGGTAAATGGCTGTTTGGTCTTTTCTTTAAAATCTCCAGGGAGCATCCACAGTTTCTGGAGACAAGCTGATTAATTGTTCCTGTGTCAGGAAACTTTGCCTTAATTCTAGACTGGACCTGTCTTTGATAATTTTCCATCAGTTAGATATTGTCTTGCCCTCACGTACTTTGGAGAATAACCCCCTCTTATCTGTGACAGTCCCTCAAATATTGGAAGATTACTATCATGTCACTCCTAATCCTTCTGTTTGTTAAATTAGATATACCCAATTCCTACAACCATTCACCATATGCTTTAGCCTCAGTCCCCTAATCATCTTTGTTGTCCTTCTCTGCACCTTTTTTAGAGCCATGGCATCTTTTTTGTATCGTGGTGACCAAAAATGGATGCAGTATTCTTTTTAAGCCAAGTTATACAAATCAAAATATAAACTGTGCATGGGCTTTGCAGATACTGTTCCTATGATGATGAGTTTTCAGATTGTCAATTCAAACACAATGTTACTTTATTTGTTTGTTGAATTTTATAGTCAGTTTGCCAAATGAAAACAGGGAAGAAGCTTTAACACACCACAATTGCTGATATTTTGTAGATTATATAGGCTCTTACTGAAATGAAGCCTCTGCTGTTGCTTCTTTGCTGAGCTAAGTGCTATAATTCTGTAGATAGACAAGTCACCAAAAATTGATTATTTTATGTAGATTTTTTTAAAAAATTACTTCAAATCTTTGTGAATTTAGGACATACATCAAGGTAGTAAGGATCTTGTTCCTATTGTTTCTTATACAAAAGCACTAAAAATTTCAAATTTTATGGTATCAAAACACAGTGCAAAGGTGTTCTATTCTTAGAAATAGTTCTGTTCTTAGAAAGTTTTGTTTAATCTATGCAGAACTCTACATTTCAATAGTCTAATCAAATGAATTTCACAACTGGAAAACTTTACATGGACTCAGAGTTACAATAAGTCATTGCTAATAGGATATATTTTTAGATTTTAATTTATAGAGTGACCTTGTTCATAGATCAGATTGGTATAAAAAAAAACAGTTAACAAATTTTCATTGTATCATACTGACCTAAAGCATCCTTTTGTTTTTCCACAATCATCCGCTCGAATTTTTGCAAATGGATCTACCGGAGGAGCAGTAGGAAAAGGGTAACCTTTAAGAATCAGAATCAAAATATTAATTATTTAATACAATGCATTTTAATGTAATGCTAAATATTAATTTGTATGTATTTTATACATTTATATCCCACATTTTGTTTCTTACTGGAGTCAGCAATCACTCTGCAAAGTGTCATATTCAGATGTTAAAATAAAAAATGTTCTAATTTCCTCAGAATCTACATGAAAATAACCATAGAATGATAATTGGAAAAGACCTTTAAGTCATCATCCAATCTTCTGCTCTGTGTAGGATCTAAATTAAAGTATTTATGAAATATGGTCAGTGTCTGTTTGCACACAGCTAATAAACCATTTCATATGCCCCTCAAATCTAAAGCTTTCTTGGCTCTATTTCTGCTCATATATCATTTTTCCATCAATTTTCTGACTATCGCATTCTTCTTGGTCAGATTATCTCTTTTTGGAAAGCCAGAATTCAGAATTCTCTATGCCAACCTGCATTTTATACCAGAGGACTATAAAAAATTAGACCTGAAGAAGGTGTTTGGCATAGCTCTCAAAATAAAGTAGGGCAAATTACGTATATCAATCTTGACAGGTTATTAGCAAGAGACCCTTTACACGAGGAAATTGGCTATTCAGTATTACCTACCATTACCTTTTTTGCTTGTTTTAATGATTTACCATCTGCAATACTGAGGGGAAGATATAATAATATCCCTTTTGCAGAGCGAAGCTGTCCCTGTGATCTGGAGGAACCTGCGACTCTAGGCCAAATGTGCCTTTGGTGTCCTTTCTAAACAAACTTGCACCATTCGCTCATAAATGTAGAAGTGCTCAGAATAATATCATTTACAATCCTTACATTGTCAGGAAAATATAATTTTTTCTTTGAACTGTCATTAGTCCATGCTGCAAAACATGAAAAGCATTCTCCTAATTTTAACTCTACAAAATATCCTATGCTTTTTAAACTGTTTTAGGTTATATTCCTTTGATATGGATCACACAGCATACTTAGACTTCAGCAAAGCATTCAGCTAATTACACCACAACTTACTTCTTGATAATCTAGAAAAAAGTGGGATAGAAAGCATCACCACCAGATGGATTTGTAAGTGACAAACCGTACTCAGCGAGTAGTCCTATGACTACATTGAAAGAAGGAAGGGCCTTCCATCTTAGGCCCAATACTCCTCAATATCTTCTTCAATATCTTTAGATGAGGGAATAGAAGGGGAACTCATCAAATTTGCAGATGATATTAAGCTGGCAGGAATAGCCAAATCCTAGATGATTGGCTCAAAATGGATCTTGATAGACTTGAACATTGGCCCCTACCTAACTAATATCACTCTATAAAGCCTAAGTAAGACTACATCTAGAATACTGCATCCAGTTTTGGTCACCACACAATAAAAAAGATTGAGACTGTAGAAAGGCGTGCAGACAAAAGCAACAAATATAATTTGTTGTTTGGAGGCTAAAACCTATGAAGAACAGTTGAGGAAGTGGGCATGGTTAGTCTAGTAAAGAGAAGGACCAGGGTTCCAATGATAGCAGTGTTCCAATATTTGAGGGGCTGTCATGGGGCGGGGTCCAACCTATTTTCCAAAACACCTAAAGGCCTGACAAGGAATAATGGATGGAAACTGATCAAGGAGACATTTAACCTAGAAATAAGGAGAAATTTTCTGACAGTGAGAACAATCAACCAATGGAACAGTTTGCCTTCAGAAGTTGGGGGTGCTTCATCACTGGAAGCTTTCAAGAAGAGACTGGACAGCCATTGTCAGAAATAGTATAGGATCTCCTGCTTGAACAGGGTATTAGACTAGGTCCCTTCCAACTCTATTATTTTATTCTATATGCACGCACACGAATTTACAAGCATATTTACATACATGCACTACCTTTCTTCTTCTTCTTCTTCTTCTTCTTCTTTTTCTTCAGCGTTTGTCTCGCGCTCGGGCGAGGTCCGCTAATGTCCTTGAGTACTGCTTCCACACCTCTCTGTCTGCCACGTGTGTCGGGTCTGCCTTCGCGATCTCTAGATCGGCCTTGATCGTGTCCATCCAGCGTTGCTTAGGTCTACCACGCGGTCTCGCTCCTCCGACAGTCACCTTCATTACAGATTTGATGATGGATTCTTCCTTGGCGCGGCTCACGTGGCCGAACCATCGTAGCCGGGACTGCCTCATGACCGTGGGGATGGGCACGACGTTGAACCGTCTACGCACTTCTTCGTTCCTGACGCGATCGAGTAGGGTGAGGCCTACCGACCATCAGAGCATTCGCATCTCCATTATCTGGAGTCTGCTTTCGACTTCTTTGGTCGTCGGCCAGCACTCTGCGCCGTATATGGCCACGGGGCGCACCACAGAGTTATAGATTTTCGCCTTCAGGCGCATCGGCATCTTCTTGTCACAGAGGACGCCCGTGACGGACTTCCATTTGCCCCACGCTGCATTGATCCTGGCTGCCACCTCAGTTTGTAGTAGGCCTTCTTCCCCAAGAGTAGTTCCCAGGTACTTGAAGGTGGAGGCGCGCGGTAGCTCCTGCCCGTTCACGTGGATGGAGCCTGTCATTTCATTGTCAGTGGTCAGGTATTCGGACTTCTTTAGGTTCAGCCGGAGCCCGAACTGCTCGAGGCGGTCGTGCCACTGTTGGACTCGGTGCTCTAGTTCAGCCTTGCACAGGTTGGCCAGGAACACATCATCGGCGTAGAGCAGCGTCCATGGGGCGGGCGTGTACAGGTCGTGTGTAATTGTGTCCATCACCAGAATGAACAGCAGTGGTGAGAGAGCAGAGCCCTGGTGTACGCCGACGGTAATATTAAACTCCTCTGATATCCCAGCTGCCGCTTTTACACGGCTTTTGTGACATCTGTATAGGAGTTGGACCCATTGTACGAGCAGCTCAGGCACGCCGTGGTCTCGCAGTGCGTACCAGATGAGATCGTGCGGGACTCGGTCGAAGGCCTTTTCCAAGTCTAGGAAGGCGGTGTGGAGCGGGATTTTCTTCTCTCTGTGAGCCTCCATCAGCATCCGCACACCGAAGATGGCGTCGGTGGTGCCGCAGTTCTTGATGAATCCAGCCTGGTTGACGCTGATGTCGACGATGTCCCGAATGCGCTTATCAAGGACGCGTTCAAAGATCTTCATAGTGTGTGACAGTAACCTGACCGGTTTGTAGTTGGAGCAGTCCGCTGGGCTGCCCTTTCCCTTCCAGATCGGAACAGTGGTGCTGCGGTACCAGTCGTGTGGAACTTTTCCCGTGGAGACGATGTTGTTGAACAGCTCGCACAGCCACAATGCCGAGCCCGGTAGTGCCTTTTTCAGAAGTCGGCAGGGATGTCGTCTGGTCCTGTTGCCTTACCGTTTTTCATGGCCTTGATGGCGTCGGCGACCTCGCTGGCATAAATGCCTGAGACTGGGCCTTCAACTGGGTCACCTCGCGGGGTTCGTGGGTGTGGGAACTCCTCGGTGGAGATCTTCTCGAAGTATTGCCGCCACCTCTCCGCAGCGTCTCTGGGGTTGACGATCAAATTTCCCCTTTCGTCGTTGATCCCATGAAACTGGTCAATGTCCAGGGTCTTCCTGTGTCTGCTTTTGGCTAGGCGGTAGATCTCATTCTCGCCTTCTTGCGTGTTCAGCTTCTCGTAGATGTCATCGTAGTGGGAGCTTCTGGCTGTCGCTACTGCTTTCTTGGCTGCCTTTTTGGCCGCCTTGTATTCGCAGAGCTTCTCGCTGGTCTTGTCCTGAAGAAAGGCCTTGTAGAGCCGTTTCTTCAGGTGTACGGCATCTTGTACTTCCGGTGTCCAGAGCCATGTATCTCGTTCGATGCGTCTCCGTCCTGGCTTGGTGCAACCAAGCTGTTGGCAGCCGGCAGTGTGAACAGTACATACATGCACTACCATACTGAATTATTAATCTATTAAAAATAATTTTATAATTTAGTCAACTAGTGTTAAGTATTTAAACATTTTAGTGTTTCATTTTTAGTGTTTCATTTTAGCATTTATAGGTTCAACAGTCTTAAATTCGTTATTATTATGGTTCAACGCACGATCAGCCCTATATTCTGACTGGATTTGGTATTTTTGTCCACCATATCTGCTTCATCTGTTATATTTTTCATACTAACCATGTACTGACCATGTAACAGTTTATCTTCTCATGCCTTTTTTCTGTTTTTCATTTGGTCTTTGGTCTCCAGTAAGCCATCTTGGTATATTGGTATATTATTTTCAGTTCATCTTTTTCACTATCCTTCAGATATTCTTTCAATGCACTTTTTTCTTTTTCACCCATCAAACGTACTTGCAACATTCCACACACACTATTTTTCTTGATATGTAGAGTCTGTCAATGTCATTCTGAGGATGAAGGGCATGATTCATTGTAAATATGTTTCTAGTTACCTTTTAGAGCCTTCTTTATTTCTTTTTCTTTCTCTCTCTCTCTCTCTCTCTCTTTCTTTCTTTTCTTTTTTCTTTTCTTTCTTCAATCTATATCCTCTACAGGGTGACTCTGGACCACTTTTAGTTCTGCTTGAGGCCAGGCTATTCCAGCTGTGTATCTAATAACTGGAATTGCCCAGTATTAATTGTCTTGCTGGTATTTTCTTCACTGAATTTGGATTTTAAGATTTTTTCACTCTAATGTATTTAACTATAACCTTTTTCTTGACTTCAGTGTCCTGATGTGGTCATCTTGAAGGACGGCAGGTGTTTGTAGTGAACATCTTCATACAATCTTGATATGATTTCTGTAGGGCATCTCCTTCACTTTTCTCGATTTTTCTCCATTTGATGGTAAGCATGGCACATATGTCCAATCTAAACTTCATTGCTCAACAATGTTGAGGAGCTATTTTATTTCAGATGGTATTTTTTCAGTTTCAAATGAACTATGTAAAGATTAGATAGCCTGAAAGGTGTTTTTGATGTTTGATATCCTGAATTATTCATTATTGTTGATGGAAGAATCAATGTGATGACAAACAGAAGTGGCAAAAGAGAGTCCTT